CGCTATTCAGAACGCATTCAGTTTGGAGTCTGAGGGATGAATGACCTGTGTTTACAAGTTTTATACTGTTTAGCGAAAATGTGTAAGAGGACTTAAAATCTCTTCATTCAATATTATGCTCTTGTTGAAAAATAAACTACAATAAACCTCTACAAAAAGAAAAAGAAAACTACAAACAGTACTAACAGACATAGCCGACACAGTAAGCATACCTTTAAAATTGTCACTTAATTTAATGATATAGCAATAATGGTACTTAAATATATGAAGCTGACTGCTGTGCATGTGTAAATGCATGTGCGCTGTGTGTACAGATGGCCTGAGCATGAGCTTGAATAAGACAGAGCCTATCCGACACTGACGTATTGTAAGCGTGTCGCTCTCAATATGTGAGGTAATGAGAACAGACTGACTTCTTTTTTCTGTATCCCCTTTCTTCTTTTCTCTCCTTCTCTCCCACTCTCTCTACTCTAGTGTTTTTCCATCTGTTTGGAGACAAAGGGCCATGAGCCAGCTCCAGCCTGGGTCCCTGCTGGTGAAGTGGGCAAGCATAATGTGGCCCATCCCAGGGGCCACATTTCAACACATGGATCTGCCTTTGTACCTCACTGCTAGTGCAACGCTCACTCTACAACACACACCTTTGATGAATATCAAGGGAATGAGTGAAAGGGGTAGGTTGAAGGTGCAAAGGGAGATGGGCTCTAGGCATTGAAGATGAGCACACTTGTAATGGAAGGAGAGGAAAGATGCAAACACTCCCTTCTGCCTTTTAAATGCTGTTTAAAGACCTGTGGACATATGGCTGCTTTTTTGTGTGTTTCTCTAGTTGGAAAAACAAGAAGCCTTATTTGGAACAAATGGGAATGTGTTCCTGCCTATATTGTCCCATGCATGTTTGATTCTAGAAAAGTGTACCTGAATGATGATTCAAACAGGACTATAGTGAATAGGATTTTTGGCCGTCTGTACACTTCCTGACATATGGTCACTTGTAGGTCTTTGCCATTACATAATCCATGGTGAACAGAGAGGCAATATGGCTCTTTCTCATACACAAACACACATGTGCTGGCTGCATTCACAGTCTGTTACCCACTCAAACCAGGACTACAGCTGACAGCTTTAAATTAGGGTTTGTTTTGGAGCTGCAGCATGGACAAAAATAAAGTGAATGGATATATACCACCTTATACCATAAATACTCCTCAATAACGTAAAAACTATTAACAGTTGGTGATGCATTTGTCCATGTGATATATTTGGTTTAAATTTAGAGTGTTTGCATTTCATTCATTTTAATTTCAGTCACATTAAAAACACCAGAACCCCACTGAATAATAATAAATGCATTAACAACAATTTTGACAGAAAGTGAATCATTATAGTGTCTGATCTTTCTGGCATTGGAAAGTATGATGATTTTATTCTTTGCTTCTGAAATCAACGTTAGGGTACATGACAAATTAACAGGTAGGCTAATTAACAATTCCAGAGAAGTAAACTGTCAGAGGATGAAACATTTTTAAACACATTAAATTCAATAACTAATCTAACAAATTATAGAAATTTCTGGTAAAGAGAAAACCATGCCAAACCAAACTGTAGAAAATATTATAATTGTTGTTTAAACTGTTAATTTTTGAACTAAAAATCATACTCACATACTTGATTTGGTGCTTCATGGCTATAAGGTCACTGCGATCACTCTAAGATCACAGAAATATGCTGCTCTTTACATGATTTTGATGATGAAACTGGTGTCTTGTTGGCTATAGGACACAGTATTTATGTTATAAGACACTACAACTTGTACTGTCAAATCCTTTTAGGGACATCAGCCTATAATAGACACAAAGTTAATTATCGTCTGGAAAATGCATGTTAAGTCACGGATTAAAATAGAAGCTCTATCAAATCCTTTCTGGTGGTCTCAAGACATTACAAAGTTGCATTATCCATTATCATTCAATCACTGAGCCAGTGTTTAAATTTGAGTGCTGTTGTGTTAGTGTAAAATGTTCTTTTATTGCCAGCAAGTGAAGAGAAATTCAGATGATATTAAATAAAAATATTTGATCAAGAAAAGTGGTTCTTCTAAAAACACTTTGGACTTACAACAAGGGTAAAAACACTGGTCTGAAACAACTGAGGTTTTGAATGAGTGAATCACGCATGCATAGTGGTATGCTTGAGAAATGTAGGCAACTATTAGCTTGCTGATTCTTTTGGATGTGAGAATTCAGTTAGTTTTATATAGGCTATACAGTGGCAAGAAGAAGTTTGTGAACTCTTTGATCTTCATTGAAGTCAGTATCAGTCTGGCTAAACTAATAACACACAAACAATTGTGCTTTTCAAAATTGTGTTAAAGACGCGAGTGATCATCGACAAGGGCAGACTGAACAAAGTTAACCCTTGCATGTTTTTACTTATAATATATATGGTATATTGAAGCGTTATGTATATGTAGCCTAAATATATAATATGATTATATATGTATAAATGGTATGTAAGAATAAATCTGTCTTTATCTCTCTGTTTCGCTCTCTCTCTCTCTCTCTCTCACTCACTCACTCACTCTCTCTCTCTCTCTCTCTCTCTGTTTCC